ACAAAGTCCAGAAGAAAGTTGGTAATGCCCGGAACACTGAAAGCTGCTGTGTGTCGCTCTGTCTGAAATAAACTGTAACAAAGACGTTCGGGAGAATTGTTTCATTGTTAGGGAGAATCGTTCGAGAATTTGTGCTTACGGTAATTTTCTTGTGTTTTAAATAAAGACGCGGTGCGATCTCGAAATGAGAAATAAATTTTAACCACGAGCCATTGCTTCTGTTTTCCAAAAGACGTATCTCACGTCTTGCTACGAGCTGTGCCTCTTTTACAGTTTTCCGACAATCAAATCTTTCCGTTTGTCTTGCACTGCGAAACTCTTAATCTGTAATAGGAAATTGTTTACTGGTTGGTGATCACTTCTTAAAGGCCTCGTAGAAACATCGGCTTTTCTTTTAAGTTGTTTATTGTCAGGAAAATGTTTTTGCAGAACAAATAATTTTATATTACGAACTGATCAATCAGTGGAATGTACAGCCTGCGATGTGTGTTGAAATATTTGCGTTGGCTTTAAAATTTCTGCAATAGTTGTTATAATCTCAGATTTCTCTTGAAGGAGTCAAGGGTAAGTAAGACACGAGGTGACCATTCTATAGTACAAATGCTCGCTGCTTGCTATCCGATTTTTAAGTTAAATTCTGTTAAGCCTACGCAGGCCCTTCACCCAATCGCAGTTAATCTGGTCCCATTAGTACACATTCTGGGAGTCTTTTAAGTATTCAGGTAGCAAAAATTCATCCACCACATTGACTAACGGATACCTTTATTTGGCTACGTGAGTCATAAAAGGTTAAAATTGATGCGCATGACTTGTAATTTTCTGCTCGCCGTTTCTCCAAATCGACGACTGTTTCGTGACGTTTCAGGACTCTCTTTACAACAACACTGCAGACTGACATTCTCGTACACGGAATTAGCTCGGATGTATTTTCGAGAGGTGGTCATCCGCTCCGAAAACGCGTGTCAGCTGCTTGTGACGGCTGATTACTTGCTTATACCGGAAGTTCCTAAACTCTGTCGCGACTTCCTTATGAACACGATGGACGAGATGGACGCCAACTACTGTGTCAGCATCATGCAGTTCGCAAGGTAATTGATGTTCATTTGTCATTTGCTGTGACGCCAGACTTCGTCGCTGGAGCGAATCAACTTTACTCAAGACAGCAGCCGAGTGCCGTGTCGGAGATTAAAGCCTCTGACTGAGGACTGTGCGAAATATAATGCGTTTGCAATTTGTTATTAACGTCCTTGAAATTTAAATGTTCTGATTAACTGCATATGTTTTGATCGTCATTATGAACAGCAGATGAATAATTTCACCATGTATAACGTAAATCGCGACACAATGCAGGGTCACAATTATCTCTCTCTTCCTTTCCTTTTTTCTTTCTTCCGACGCACAAGCCGACGGCAAAAGTCACTCGTGAGCGCTGTTCGAGGGAGTCCCTGTACTAAAAGAGTGAATTTATCAGTCATTCTGTCCATCGCATGAACTGAAGTTTCTGGTGTGATTCTGCTTTGCTTGCTATGTTGTCCTGAACAAGAAGGAGTAAGAGTTCAGCGTCTACGGGACCCAGCGGGTTGGTCTTTGTCTTTGCCCGATAATAACGAATTATCTAAATGTCTTGAAGTGTTCATAATAATCAGCAATATCTGGGGTGAGGTTAGATCAATGAACTGTACCGCGTGGACATCGATTTAAATACTTTCGCCGGTGGAATCCAATCGCAACCGATCTGGTTGAAATTCGGTCGCTTAATGTGGGAATCGGATAATCGAGGCTCGGTTAACAGAGGTTTTGCTGTATGCAGAAAAATGTGGGGCTGAATGTTGATTTTGGTGTTGGGAGGATTATGTAAGAAGCAAGGAATGCTGCATAGAGAGAAAGAACTAAGATAAGGACTTCGAGAGGAAGACAGATTTAATTATGACTCTGCAATAGACCGCGATTAACGTTCCATATGGTGAAATTAGTCATCTT